ATTTTGATAATGAGAAGAAACTTCATTAGTTAGTTTTGTTGTCGTAAGTTTTTCATTATTTCGCTCGTAATAACCCAATCTAAAAAATCAAAACCATTCAAATTGAATTCACTGGGCCACAAAAAGTTTTACCGTAAAATAACATCTTGTACTTCGGCTACATTCAATGTTTGTAAAAGAAATCCAACTAAGGGATATTCATTTAATAATTTTTCACTTGGATTTGATCCGTGCATCGAAAAACTAACATGAATCTAAACAGAATTGAGTGATAATTTAACATCAAATATAGACCTGTTTTTTTTTTAATACCTTAAGTGGTGATAAATGAATATTATCGAAAAACATTTCGGTTTCACCCGATGGACTATCAATTTGGGATTTAATGATAATATCAAGTGATTTTCGAATTTGTTCTAAATCGCTACTCATATTGATCATTGGTGGTGAATTAATCTATTAAAAGAAGAGAAAATAGGAAATATTACAAAATCTCGTAATAAAAACAAACATTGTGTTGTGTCAAGAAGCTAAGAATTGCAACAATTAAACCTTGATCAATTTGAACAGCAAATTCTTGAATAAGTAATTTGAAATATTTGAATTGTTTTATATTTGTTTGTGCCAATTTTGATTCATAAATACTCAATTCGATGAATGGTTTTTCAACATATTCATTTCCTGTCGATTTCGGAATAACAGGATAAAGCATCACAGGAAACATTGTATAACTAAGTTGATTATCGATTTGTAAACGATTGATACGTAAATGTAATGCAGAATTCATTGTTGAGAATGAGTATTCAACCCATAGACCATCTAATGCCTGACGTTTTGCAGTTTTCTTTCGATCTTTAGAATCTATCAGTTCCGCTGTATCATCATGAAATGTGATTTCCTTTACATACAAAGAGAAAAATTTACAAATGAACTTTATAATTGACAATGAAATAAGCTAATAAAAGTATCATACCCGAAATCCTTCCATTTGATATTTCTTTTCCATAAGTTGTTTATCATCCGGATTGATTTCGTATTGTTGAGTATAAGTTCGATAAAGTTCTTCTAACTGTTGATTTATATCAGAAGACAAAATTTTAACACGAGATTTCTTCATTTCAGTCCAAACAATTTTGGATTTATTTAAACTTATATAAAACAATTCTTCTCGTGATATATCATTAACAATAGAAATACCAATATCCTTTATACCAATTTGTATTTGTTGATCCATAGAGTCACTTAATGGTGATTTCTACATAAATAATTTATTTAGTTTTGATAATTAAAAAAAGCAACGAATAAGAAATACATACGACTGCAATCGTTTGAATTAATTTTGAATCATCACAAAAGAGTAATACTGTTTGAACACCATCAAGAAATACAGCATAAACAGGATCACCTTCTTTCCCTAATGGACTAATTTGAGGATAGAAAGAAAATTTTTTTCATCAATAAAACGTCAATTGAAAACTCCTAAAAAATCTGAGAAAGTCCAAGAAGCTTGTTCTCAAGCGTAGTTTACTTAGAATACCTGATAACCGAATATACATATATATTATAATTCTTTTATATCGAAATTGGTAAACATTAGAAAAAAAGCAACGTTAGAAATAATAAATTCTAACTTACAATAAGTTCTAACTCTTTTGTTTGCGATCCACGTGATACAAGTAATAATTTTGGTTGCAATGGATCTATCCATGTATAATAAACATAATTCAATGGTGGTAAGATTTCTGTTCGTCTACATTAAAAATCAACATAATGAAATTTCTTCTGGAAAAAGAATATTTGACTTACACATCTTTGGATTGACGAAAAGGAATCGAATCATTTTCGAACAAATTTACAATAAGTAATGGTGCATCACCAATTTTGTAGTCTTCAA